ACAAGTTTTTTGCACAATAAATACTCTAATTAATGGAAATGAGAACAAACCCTTTCCTTTAAGTATTGAGTGTGAAATCTATTTTGCAATACATTTGCATTTAAATTATCAAAAATATATTCATATTAAAAAATCAACGATAACTCACTTGACCTTCTCTCCTTATCTGAACAAAATCTATTGATCCTGAAGTCAACCTGGTCAATGATCAGGTCACTTATCTCCCGGTGCAATGGTGTCCCGCACTTCTTGAAGTAGTTTTTCAGACATTTTAATGTATCGTCTTTTATAGTTCTATACAAACATTCAATGTTTCAGAAAATAAGCTCAAAAATAGATAAAAGTAATGAAATTAAGAAACTTATGGTTAGATTACTTGCAGATGCGATTGAGTCCGGCATCGGATGCGATGATGGCTGTGGGGTCCTTGCCTTTGCCCAACTCAACCATTTTGTTCATACATTTTTCGGCCTCTTTCTGGTGGCAAAGATCACTCTTAGACCTACCCTTAGCTTTGCTTTTATTACGACTTCTTCTGCGCTGACCATCAATTTGGTGGACAACCAGTAATAAGACGATCGTTAAAAACAAAACTATATTCAAAATTATAGTTATTAATAAGAATTACTCTTGGTCACTTAATATACTCACTCGAATGAAGTGATATTTTCATTTTTTTGTTGCAATTATTTTATTTATTAACGATAATATTGACTCAAACTCTTATGTCTCGGTTGATGTGAACTACGAAATCAACGAATATTTTCAGATCATAACCACAAAAAACTTTACTTTAAGAAAGAAAAAACTTTTACAAACTTTCCCTAAACTGTAAGCTTTTCAGTGTCTCTTTGTGTTGATAGAGCACCAGTGGTTTGAAGTCACTTTTCCTTATACTTGTGTGCAAAATGCGGTTGAAATGTGAACTTTGTTTGAAATGCAAAAATTGAGGCCAAATATGAAATAAATTTTTTTCGGGTATTACTAATTGAATTGAAATATAAATAATAATATAAATAATGATATAAAAATTTTGAAATCTATGACATCGATTAGGCACTCAATTACTCCATTCAACTATTCATTCATTACCTGTGAATATAAAAGCCATTCATTAAAAATATAAATTATATATTAGATTAAAATCACTTAAGAGTAAAGTCTTTATTCTTGAAAATTTAATTTATTATTAGAAAATGAAAAACAAATAAAACATAAATACTTTCTAGTAATACTATCTGTTTGTTAATGAAAATTATTGTCTGATTTTTGTTAATAAAATCACGCCATGTATAATACAATACAAAAAATTGTGATAAAATGCTTCCTATTGTCAAAGTATTACTAATTTATTCATTAGTTTTCATGAGATTCTTGACTTTTTTGTGTTCAAAATGAAGTCCAAAATAGTTATTTAAAAACTGATTTAAAAAGTTGACAAAAGTTTTAATGAAAAATAAATTGAGATTTGAGTGAATGACTAAATTAAAAGTATTTGTCAAATAATATACTATTATTTATTGCAATCGAAAGTAAAAGTCAATTCAAATAATGATTAAATTGACACGAATTTAAGAGAAACTTGTTTTGTATGTTATTACAATTGTGTACAAAACCTGTTCAACAAATTAATCTATAAATTTGTTAACTTTTACTGAAAATTGTTGCTTTAATTATAAATTACAGTGTACAGTATTGAGTCCTAAAATTGTCGTTTAATTTTTATTATGATTTCTTATATAAAGCCTTAAATAATAGTAACAAATAACATATTGTGCTATTGTTTCCGGTTTTATATTAGTCATTTTAATCCACATTTAATTGTAATTAAAGTTTTATATATAGTGTAAAGTTTTTATGTTTTAAGATATTTTAGTGACAGTAACTAAATCAATTTCAATTAAACAGTATCAGTAGTAACAAAGTAACAGTATCAATTTACCTAAATTGATGACTACCAACACGGATACAATTATATCAAATTTATTGATATTTAAAATAATTTTAAAAGTTTTCTGTTATATGTTATTTAATATAAACAACAATGCTTCATTAATTTTTATGAAATACCCATTTATTGTTTTTACAAAACAATATTTTTGAAGTTTATAAATTTATATAAAAAATCTTAATGCATAATACTGTAACAACATTACACAATAAATCTTAATTCAGAAAACATTTATTTAAAAATTAGACAATATTATAAAGTAGATATTTAAAATTCTAAAATTAGTGACTCATATAAAAAGGTAAAAATTTTGAATCTAGATAAATGTGTGGATGACTAAGCGTCCCAATACTTGTTTGTAAGATAAAAAACACCGAATTTCTGCTTTATTTAATCGATTAGTCCTGACGTCTAAATAACCGACGCCTTTGAGTACAATCACCGGAGTCTATACCTCCTGTTCACTGCTTTGCATACTGTAGTGATTCACTCAATATTTTATGATTACAATAAACATTTCAATTATTATATCAACGATTGTAACGCTTGAATTCATTTAATGTTCATTCACTTCATATGACACGAAAGGTTATTAATATTTAAATATTATTTGCATATTTCAATCAATTTATAACTTTCTATAAACACATTATTTAAATAATTTTTATTTTAATACCTATTCTACGAATTTATCAAGTTACAAATGGACAACTTTAATTGTTATTTCTATTGTTAAAATATTT